AGAGAGAGAGAGAGAGAGAGAGAGGTAGAAAAAAAAGTCAGATCCGGCTCCGCGTCTCGCGCAGACAAGAGCAAAAAAAAAAACACGCACAGACATGCTCCACCGGGACTTCACCCACGTAGGGCGGCTTGCAGTCGATGTGCGCGAGGCTAAAGTTGGGCGGCCGGCCGAGCGTGAAGCACTGTTGAGGGGGTTTGGGTAAATAAGGAGATCATTATTCGGTTCGGCGTCATGGACCCCCGACAGAACACGTAAGGTTCCCCCCGAAAAGTAAAAACAAATCAAAGAAGAGCGGGAGCAGGAGCAGGAGGAGTAGAGCGCGACAGAACGGAGGGCACACGTACCTGCCAGAGGTCGTACGTGTACAGCTCCCAGAAGAGCTGCCGCCGGCGTTGCGTCTCCAGCGGCGGCAAGTTGAACCGGCCGCAGTCGCGATCTAACAATAGCCCACCCCACCCCAAAGAAAGAAGAGAGAGAGACCGAGGGGGCGGATCAGAGGTTCCGAGAAAGCGGGCACGCAAGGATAAGGGCAAAGGGGGATAGAGCAAGAAGCAGGAAGTTAGAGAGAGAGAGAGACGTCAGCGACAGCTCAAAACCCGACGCCGCGAGGCGAGAAGAAGGAGGAACGACACTCACGAAGGCCGATCTAGTTACCGGTGAGAACAAAAGTGCGGTGAGCGACGGATTAGAAGGAGACGGCGCGAGCAACAGAACGCACGCTTTGCGCGAGCTTGATCGCGAGGCCCATGATCGCGAACCGCGAGCCCGACGCGACGCCGTGCCGGTCCGCAAGGAAAAAGTAGTAGGTCATCATGTACTGCAAAACGTAAAAAAAACGCAACCCCCTCGTCAGCCCCACGGTAATACGACGAACAAAAGAAATAAAAGGGGGTCACGTACGAGCGCCTGCACGGCCGAGATCGTCGGGTCGTCCACGATGTTGCTCTGGAACAGCGCCGCCCTCGCGAGCTGGTGAAACTTCTCCGCCTCGACGTTGAACGGCGCCTCCCGCGGATCCATCAAGCTCCCGATCGCGAGCACCATAAACATGATCGACAGCCTGTGCGCCACGCGCGGGTCCTCCGCCCCGTCGCCGCCGCCGACCACGCCCCCGCTCATCCCGTAAAACGTCAGGTAGATCTCCTCGTTGAACTGGTCCATGGGCAGGGGGTGGTACATCCACGCGGCGTAGGTGTAGTACACGTCCCGGAGCTCGGCCGCGCGCGCGGCGGGCGGGAGGTACCAGTAGAGCGCCGCGAGCCGGTCCGCGGCGCGTTCCATGCCCGGGGAGACGACGGGCGGGAGGGGGAAGGTGCCGGTCATGGCGAGGATCTGGGGCGGGAGGATCTTCCTAAGCTCGTCCACGCGCTCGTCGACCTCGTTCGCCTCTTCCGGGTTCTCGTTTTGGAGGAAATACTAAGGCAGAGAAGAAAGAAAGGGAAAAAAAAACGACTTCGTCAACGCGACGTTCTGGGGCGGATCATAGCAGGAAAAGGAAGGGAAAGAAAGGACCGCGCACCCAAGAGTTGGCCGCGTTTCCGTAATACTTCGTCCGCCCGCTGAAACTGATCGACAGACTGCCGACGGCGTCGACGACCTCCGCGCCCTCCCCTCCCTCGCCCTCCTCCTCGCTCCCGCCCTCGCCGCCGAACCGGCCTCCTCCTCCGCCCCCTCCTCCGCCCCCGTTGTTCTGGGCGTTCTGGCCGTTGAAGCCCGGGTGCCGGTGCGCGGGCGGGACGTCGCGCTGGAGCGGCATCTTGATCTTGAGCAGCTCGTCGGCGAGGAGCGGGTGCGGCTCGGGCCCGCGGTGGGACGCGCGCAGACCGTCCTCGAGCGAGCGCACGCGCAGACAGAGCTCGTGGATCTTTTCGTGCAAATCTTGTGTTGACGCTAGGACAAACCTGTCGAGGGGGCGAGTATCAGTATACACATACCGAGGGAAGTGTGGAAGGGCGAAGGGAGACGGACCGGTTGCCTTGCCCCGTCGTAAGCGATCCTGTACGGGTCGAGTCGAATCCATGGTCAGTCACGATATAACGACGCGAAATGTCCCGGGGGGGGGGGGGGGGGGGGTTT